AAATTTCAGAGATGCTTGAAACTGCAATATTTCGAAATTTAAGGACGCTAATTTACTCAAAATTGATACACTCCGGCTTACCACCTAGCGGTAGGTTTCGGAAAGGTGAAAAAACATATATTTAATACTTGCGCCGGGTGTTTAATGTTCGGCTCCACACGAACTTAGACTTTCTTACTTGTTGATATTAATGTTTTTTGATGATAACAGGCTATAGTTTGGCGGTAACAAATATTTTTTGGCGGTTTTCTTCTGTATATATGTACACCATTAAGTGACCGGGTCTAAAGTTCACTTCACTTTTGTTTGTGTTATGTAAATTGTATGTTTTCACAGGTGCCTTCCTGTTCACTGTTTTTCGCGTTAAGTGATTGCTTGTGGATTTGTTTATAATCACTTTCGTGCTTTGTAATAAATTTTCACTTATATAGTTTTTGTTGTTGTGTCCATATGCCCATAGGTGCCTTTCGTTACGGCGAGGAAGGACCATGGCAACGCGAGAGGGAATCTTCGCGTTCGTTTGAAATAAAACCCACTCGCGTTTTTTATAAACGCTATAAGGGTTTATTTAACAACTAAATTATGTTTAACAGGTCTATTCTGCGCTGGTAATAAAAAGTTTGTAACCGGTAAATAAAGTTCCTGTCAATTTTTAAACCCTTTTCGCATTCTCTGTACTCTTGTAACCGGTAAATTTTGCTACCATCTCATAAGTTGGTAACAAAGGATTGCCCCGTGAAATATGCAATGCCAGAATCTGCATAATTTTTCTTAGCTGAATTGCTGAATATTTTAACTGCATTACCAACGATCCTAGAATCGCGATGACAAGAACTGGTAACATTTTTTGGTAATAAAATTTTTCGGTTACAAAATCTTCGGTAACGTGCAGAAGGTATATATATATACGGAATGAAGATATATATGTTAATTACGTCCGGGAAATGTTTTCTGTGGTGGCCGTTTTCCCGTGTGCGCTCGGTTAGACGGTTGAATTTGGAGTGCTTTTCCTTTCTCCACTTTCTTTTTACCATAACCATAAAGTGGTGCAAAGGTGCAGAGAGGCCATTAGGGTGCTCCTTCATTACAATCGGGCGATTGTATAGTTGGCTTAGTTCGGAAATGTGCTAAGTCCACTTTTTATGAAAATTGAGATTTTAATGCCGTAAGATAGCACAACTCAAAATACATCATTACAAAAAAAAAGTTATCGTAATATCGTTCTTAATTGTTATGCAGTGGTATGCAAATGTGCTAAGTCTAAAAGAAATCAAGAAAAAAATGTAGACGATAACTCGAGCAAATATTAAGATATCTCAACGAAATTTGATATGTACCTTTATACAAGGTAGGTTAGTATTAAAATGGGCGAAATCGGACTGTAACCATGCCCACTTCCCATATAAAGGTATTTTCCAAAAATGCAAGAACTACGATATTTCAGTAAATATTGTATGCAAATTGTTGAAAATTAGTATGTGATGAAGAATTTTGGTAAAAAATTATTATGACATTTTTGGAAAATGGGAGGGAAATCGGACAATGACTGCGCGCATCTACCATATTACGGTAATTTACAGAAACACGAAAACTGCGATCAATAACTACTAAAGCTAATTCACTTAAAATCGATGGTTGCGATAACCACTTAGCATACAATTAGATTATTATCAATTTTTGGATAATGGGCGTGCCGCCGCCCACTTATGACCACAAATGTGTAACTCGGTAACCGATTTATAAAGTTCTACCAAACTCGGTGCNACCACTTAGCATACAATTAGATTATTATCAATTTTTGGATAATGGGCGTGCCGCCGCCCACTTATGACCACAAATGTGTAACTCGGTAACCGATTTATAAAGTTCTACCAAACTCGGTGAACTTAATAACCTTGGTATGGAAAAACGATTCGTTGAATATGATTCAAGTCGGACTAAAATCACACCCGCCTCTCGCCTATCGAACGGTAAATTTCAGAAATACGGAAACTCTGATATTTCAATAACTGAGGACACTAAATTACTCCAAGTTAATACTTACAGCAATATCTTAACAATAAATAAGACTGCTATAGACTTTTAGAAATTAGGCGTGACACCGCCCACTTTATGACTACAAAGATGTATTTCGGTTACCACTTTATCGATAAATCTTTTAACAATAAAAAAATAATGAAAAACATGTTGATAGAAAATGTGCTAAGTCCATACTAAAAGAACAAAATCATAAAGAGAAATAAAATTGCTTTTTGTTGCCGCTTTTAAGATATTTGCCTTTTTTAACTTTAATTGTAAAGAGCAATGGAAAAAGCCCTTATTCCTTGTAATATGAAAGTTCCATATTTAAATTGGGCACCCTTGTATCAACTCGTTTAGTACATTCAAAGCTTTTCTTCGCGAAAATCTAATGAAAACGCTGCCAGAAAACTTCAAAATGCATCTTTTGGTTCAATGTTGCTATAACTAGAGATTAAAATTTTGTGAATTAAAAACTAGAAAGGAGAAAATTGTCAAAGATTCAAACTACACATTTTTTATATAATGGAACCAGTTCACAGTTTTTCTCTTTTTACTGGAAAAATAAACATTACAAAAATGTATTTTTTGATTATTTTTCGGTTTTTGTCTTTTTTAGTGCCTTCTTTTGCCTTTTTTGTGATTTCTGGTGGCTTTTCCTGCCTATTTCGCTTTTTTGTTTTGCCTTTTCTAGCCAATTTCATTATTTTATTTAGCCTTTTATAAAGATTTTTTGGTCCTAAAAACCCGTTCTCTGGTAATGATTAATAAACAAAAACATTAAACAAAAATATATAAAAACATTTCTCTAAACATTTTTATTCTACTCTATAAAGAAATGGCGAATGGCCAATTTTTTGCCATTCTTTTTCGCAAATTACTCGAAATTTTGAGGGTGTACGAGTCAAATGGATCTCAGAATCGGATTCAGCGGGTCGAAATGCATGTTGGTAGGTGGGTCTGGTTAAAAACACACACCCGTTTTTTCTGCCGGTCTTAGTATATTGCACTTAAATGTTTTCGTAAGAGCAGCAAAGCATTCAAAGCGGAGTCTTCTAATCTTGACCTAAAGTTTTTACATACAAAACCTACTGATGAAAAACATATTTCAGCCTCACCACTTTTAGGCTGAACTGTCAAAAGGTAGTCATAAGTACGGTGACCATTCGTACTGATTTTGGCGGGACAGTACCGATTTTGAGAAAATTGTCGTTCTGAATATTTTTTTAAAGTCGGGATGCATACGTTTTTTAAGCTTTTTAATTAGATTTCTTAGAATAATTATGAGNACCATTCGTACTGATTTTGGCGGGACAGTACCGATTTTGAGAAAATTGTTTTTTTAAAGTCGGGATGCATACGTTTTTTAAGCTTTTTAATTAGATTTCTTAGAATAATTTACGTTTGATTTTTAGTAAATTTTTTTGTGGAAGGTGTTTCTCATTTTCTCCATAAAAAAATTTTTGTACAAACTTTTTAGGTCCAAGCTAGTTTGAAGTTTATTATACTATAATTTAAAGGGCTACAAAACCGTATAGTCTAAACAAATCTGATCAAAATGTTTTTGAAATGAAAATGAATTTTTATATTTATATTGTGTGCATACATTTTTNAGTTTGAAGTTTATTATACTATAATTTAAAGGGCTACAAAACCGTATAGTGTAAACAAATCTGATCAAAATGTTTTTGAAATGAAAATGAATTTTTATATTTATATTGTGTGCATACATTTTTCAAGTTTTCTTCTCTTTGTTTTGTTTTACATGAAACTGTATTAAAAGATGTTATGTCTTTTTATTCTAAAAGCAAAATTGTATGTTTATATACAATGCTTTAGAAATCTCCCGATTTTTGATAACAGAAATCTGGTCACCGTAGTCATAAGCATTTTGAAGATAATGACCCCTATCTTCTCCATTACAAATTATTTGAACTTCGTCTACAAGCACGTCAGACAAATTATATTTTTCGATTTGAGGAAGTTTTGAATAGAAAGATGTAAAAAATTATCTAACTTTTCCTTAAAGCTCTTTGTTTCGTTTACATTAGCGACATTATGAGTAAATTCATTTAAATCTTCCTTAAAAAAGTACAGTTTCAAGTGTTTTATAAATGCAGTCAAAACGGCATTTTACAAAAATCATACTTCAAAATTCATAAACAAGTTCCCGGGATCCCGGGTTTGGCATCCCTAGTACATAAATATGTAAGTATGAATTTCCATATACATACATACATATGTGTTTGGTTTTATAACTGTATGAGTCTATATATTAACAGATCATTTTTACTTACATATTGAGGTATTTCACTTGAAAATCCTGCCCAATCATAAGCACGTGGTAAGCCGCAATATGTTCGCATTTCATTATAAGACGGTAATCCATAGTCTCGTCCACGCTGTATATCGATTGCTTTCAAGTCAGCTCCAAACTCTTCAAAACCTTTACGATCAAAGAAGTGCTTTATCTGTAATAAATATAATTACTTCATATAAGTATGTAATTATTATGAGTTCTATGAAATTAATCATTATTTTAAGATTCTAAAATTTGCAATCAATTATAATATAAATTTCTGAGTTGTAATGTATTGTTCGTAAAAAAGATTAGGTATCCTACATACATATGCATTAGGTAGCCCATCGATTTTTTTTTTTTTTAAACTTCAATACCCTACCCCTAACTATTTATGGGAAATTTTATTGCCGCGACGTGTCATTGAAGGTCAGAAAGTACGGTTTTGTAGATTTATCAGTTTTTGAATGACAAGTTTTTATTAAATTTTAAAGGACGAACATATTGTAAGAAGAGGATTTATAGGCCTTTAAAATGATGTTTAATAATCTATTCTCAGATTAGGTTTGTCGAGATTTATCATCGGGCAAATTAAAAAAAAAACATTTGTTCTTATTTTTTAAGTTTTGACCATCACTGATTTCCACAATTTCAAAATATGTAGTACCATCCAAAATTAACTCTATTTTCAAATTGATACTACATTTATTGCAACGATAATAAAATTGCCGAAGTTAGGCAACTTTTCCTAAATACGGCCTAGAATTTATATTTTGTATGTACTGGACTTTCAGATTTTTTGACTTGTGTCCCTAAGGAATTCATCAATATTTATTCAAAATTGATATATACGATCGCTCTTTAGCAAAAAAGTGGTTTCTCTCCGCCCACTTATATCATATATGCGCATCTCAAATACTACTTCACCGATCTCGACGAAATTTGGTATACACATAGCGCATATTGAACATTTTTGAAATCGGACAAAAACCATAGATTTCACCAACGTAACGGTAATTTCAAAAAACTCAAAGCTAGCTATATTTTAGGAGGAGTAGGTTTTGCCCGCTTTCAAAAATATTCAAGACGGTGCTTAAATATTGATGAATTCCTTAGGGACACTGCTAAAAAATATCTGAAAGTCCGGTACATACAAAATATAAATTCTAGGCCGTATTTAGGAAAAGTTGGCTAACTTCGACAAATTTTATACCATTGCAATATGTGTGGTATCAGTTTATTTGGAAATAGATTTAATTTTGGATAGTACTACATGTTTTGGAAATGTGGAAATAAGTCGAGCCCTAACCGCCAAAAGGGTGTAAGCGACAAAAAGTAAATTTTACAGTGGGCGTTGTTTTTATTAACACGGCAACTTAAAGACATTTATTCTTACATAAAAGAACATCTATTCTCGAATAAATTGGTATCTCACCTAATGCAGTTGCATAAAATTTGTCAAAAACTTATGATATCAGCAAAAATACGGCCCTGAATTTATATGTGTATGTACCGGACTTTCAGATTTCGTGACCAGAGTGGCCAAGGAATTCGTCAATCTATATATATAAAAATGAAATGTCTTTCGTATGACGGCGATGCCTGACCAAATGGTTGAACCGATTTCAATTCTGTAAAAAGCACATTGTTGGACGTTCTGTGTGGAAGGTTCTTTGATTTAAAAAAATTTGAAATTTTTTGTTGTTGTTGCCGAAAAATGCAGAAAGCTGAGACGTCACGATTTCAAAATTTCATAGAGTTTTCCGTATATTGAATGTCACTAAACTACTAAACGGCTGGACCGATTTCGTTCATGTTTGGAACATATTTCAGCACATTGAAGGGAAATATTTCGACTAAAAATTTAATCACTAGGTGGCGCTGGGGTCGGGGTATTCATAAAAATTGCATTTACTTGCTGATTTGGCTTATATTTAGAAAACAATTTAGCCAATTTAAAAGAAATATTTGGACTTGAAACTTACACGATAGGCTGCCCTGTGGCCGAGACATCCCCAAAAATTATTTTACGCTAAGAGAAGGAGATATCTACTATATATTTGTGGAAGTATGTATGTATGTATGTATGTGCCAGGTTGCAGCCTAAACGGACGGACAGAATCGAACAAAATTTTGACAGAGTATTACCATGACACCTGGGCCTATAATAGGGTAAAAAATTGGGATTCGACAAGGCACCTCCCATAGGCGTGAAATTTTTAATCAGCCATAATTTCGAAACTATAAGTCACATGAACTTGAAATTTGGTATGCAGTCATATATATGGCAGGTGCTTACAGTAGAGCATATATAAATGACTTTGTAAAAGTGGGCGTGGCACATCCCATAGGCGTGAAATTTATTATCAATCATAACTTCGGAACCATAAGTCACATGAACTTGAAATTTGGTATACTGTCATATATATGGTAGGTGCTTATAGTATGGTATAAATAACTGAGTTTGTAGAAGTGGCCGTGGCACATCTAATGGGCGTGGAATATTTCATCAGCTATAAATCCGAAACTATAAGTCATATGAACTTAAAATTAGGTATGCAGACATATCTGCGGTAGGTGCTTACAGTAGCTATATATACATGAGTTTGTAAAAGAAGCGTGGCACATCCCATAGGCGTGAACCCTTTTATCAGCTATAACTTGGGAACCATAAGTCCCAAGAACTTGAAATTTGGTGTGCGGGCATATTACGGTAGGCGCTTTAAGTAAGGCATAAAGAACTGAGTGGAACATGCCATAGGCGTGGAAAATTCGGAATCATATGTCACGTGAAATTGAAATTTGGTACGCAGACGTATCTATAGTAGGTGCTTATAGTAGGCTATAAATAAGTGAGTTTGTAAGAGGGGGAGCGGCACGTCCCATGGACCTGGAATGTTTTATCAGCTATAACTCCGGAGCTATAAGCCGCTTGAACTTGAAATTACGTACGCAGCCATTTTAATGGTAGGTACTTATATTAGGGTATATAAATGAGTTTGTAAAAGAGTGCATGGCACATCCAATAGGCATGGAATTTTTTATTAGCTATAACTTCGGAGCTATAAGTCCCACGAACTTGAAACTTAGTATGCAGATATATCAATGGTAGGTGCTTATATATAAATGGGTTTTTAAAAGGGGGCGTGGCACATCCCATAGGCGTGGAAATTTTTATCAGCTATAATTTCAAAACCATAAAAGCAAATGAAATTGAAATTTGGTACGCAAACGTATCTATGGTAGGTGCTTATAGTATAGGGCTGCCAGATATTTCTGTGGCCAAACCGGGACACTTTAGGGGGGAAAGGGGGAGAGGGGCTTCCCTTTCGCTTCGAAAAAATTACGCGCGAAAGGATGTAGTAAAATTTTATTTTGACAGACAAAACTAAAAACATGAAAACATGAGATCATGAGATCTTTACAACGTCCGCCAACAAAACAAAACAACTTATCACAACTAAAGCACAGAGAATTTTTCACAATGCACGCACCTTTTTTATACTTTATAAAAATACAGTTTATACTAAATACATCAAAACACATAAATATAAAATTTCTAAACTTTGTTCTAAACTCGGGAAAATTCAATAAATTTGCATACAAATTTGCAACTTTCTAATGAGACTCATAAAAATTTAAAGAATGAAGTTTTGCAGCCCATAAAATTTTAGTTGATTTTTGGCATTGTTCTTACTGAGAGTTTCTTCTATACAAACTATGTTCCATAATTCTTTTTATATGANAAAAATACAGTTTATACTAAATACATCAAAACACATAAATATAAAATTTCTAAACTTTGTTCTAAACTCGGGAAAATTCAATAAATTTGCATACAAATTTGCAACTTTCTAATGAGACTCATAAAAATTTAAAAAATGAAGTTTTGCAGCTCATAAAATTTTAGTTGATTTTTGGCATTGTTCTTACTGAGAGTTTCTTCTATACAAACTATGTTCCATAATTCTTTTTATATGGAAGACACTGTCAGCAAAAAACAATAAATGCTAAAAATCAACCGAATTTTCTGGCAACTTCAGACTTGCACTTTATTAATTGGCTCAAAAGCTACATTTTCAAAATTTTTCTAAAGAATCTGATTGGAAGTTGTGATTTGATGAAAGAGCCTCCGAGCAAATAATTTAGTACGGCACTGTTAAGTAGTCTAGGTTTCATGAAAGAAAAAAAGATTACCGATGACCTTTTGTTAATAAGAGTTCTTGCGAACATTACGCTTTCAACTAATTCGACATTAAGCCTGTTCCTGTATTTATTTTTAATGAGATTCATCTCCGAAAATTTTCTTTCGGCAGCAGCACTACTGTGTGGTAAAATAGCTAATGTCAGCTTATACTCTGCCAAATTGCTAAACATACACACATACACAAAACATTTTTCTGGTCCTTAACCAATCCCTTGCTTTGAAAAATAAAAAAGTGATTCCGCAAAAAAGGGTTAAAGAGTAAGAGAGTATACAAAATCTTGGTGCCACAAAAGTGATTGGACAAAAATTTTTTAAGTTAATTATTTTGTAATATATTCCTAATGTGAATGGAAAAAATTAAAAAAATTCTGAGCATATTTCGGGCCAAGTGGAGTAGGGAGTAGATTTCAAATTTAAAAAAGAAATCGGAGTAAATCTACCCAATCGGAGCAAAGTCCAGACGCTGGTTACAATTAAGAAAGCGCGCTAAATTTAAAAAAATGCGCATATGAAAGAGCACCAACCCAACTCGTAATTCATTTAAGTATAACAAATTTAGTATAGGAATATTCAATTCAAATACGCCCATATTAAAATGAAGCGCTTTGCACTTACCGATTGCTTTTTCATAATTAAGTTAAAAAAAATATTTAAATTCCATGCTGCCTGTAATGGGATTTGACCCTGACCCTCTGGAAATTAGCAAATTGTGGCAAGCATTTTCACGCATAGACATGTATGTAAATGTGCATTCAAATGTTGAGTTTGAATCAACACCCCGCGTGCGTGGTATGAAAATATTATTTTAAAATACGAACATTTTAAAACGATAATCAAATAAAAAATATTCATTTTTACTGTGCATTATTTCCCTCAGTGAATTCATAAAATTTCCCGAAGATTACAACGCCTTTTTTCTCTTAGTGTAGTGATCAAAACGAAAACCGAGACACTTAAACGAAACC